CCCCCCCCCGCGGCCCCCGGCGCCCCCGAGGACGGGCGGGTGCTGCTGGACACGTGGTACGTCATCAAGCCCGGCAACACCAAGGAGAAGGTGGCGTTTTTCGTGGCCCACCAGTGCGGCACCGGCGGCGCCGGCGGCACCGCGGGCGGAGGCCGCGCCAGCACCACCATGAAGGTCAAAGGCAACTGGGGCAGCGGCAGCTCCAAGGCCAAGCGGCGCCGGCGCTGCCACGACCCCCGGGTGGGGGGAGCCGGTGACCCCCCCCGGGACAGCAAGGACAGCGCCGGGGGCGCCGGGGACGCCGGGGACGGGCAGGACCTGCTGTCGGTGGCGGAGATGGTGGCGCTGGTGGAGCGCCGGGCGGCGCTGGCCCTGCAGAGCCTGCCCCGGCCCTGCGGCGGCACCGCCCCGGCCCCGCTCGTGCTGCTGGAGGCGCCGGGCGGCCCCGAGTGCCGGCGCGTGGCCGCCGCCGTGGCACAGTTCGAGTCCCAGCAGCAGCAGTGCCAGGAGCGCCACCGGGACCCCCGGGACCACCCTGGGGCGCGGCCCAACGGGCTGTGCCGGGGCGGGGGGTCCGACTGCCCCCCGAACGCCGCCAATGCCGCCACGGCGGCGGCGCCGGGCGAGGTGCGAATCGCCTTCCGCATCTCCAGCGGGCGCGAGGCCGCCGGGGCGGCCGCCGCGGCCACGGCGGCGGTGATGGAGCACCACGGCGCCAAGGACCAGATCACCTGCGACCTGTACCGGCTGGTGAGCCCCAACCGCGCCGGCGTCGGGCTGCTCCTGGCGGCCACGGGCGCCAAAGCCGGCGGGGACGGCGTGGGGGACGGCGCCGGCGCGGACGAGGCGTCGCCGCGCAGCGCCACGGCACCGGAGCCGGGCGACGGCGGCGGCGCGGAGGGGACGGTGCCGGTGCGGGACTGCGCCTCGGGCTTCCACGTGGACGTGGTGGTGACGGGCGTGGTGGACCAGTGCGTGTTCTTCGGCAAGGACAGCGCCAAGCAGGTGACGGAGGAGACCGTGCGGCTCCCGGACGAGCCGCCGCCGCCGGGGCAGCTCTTCCTGCTGCCCGGCCCCGAGGAGCCGCCGAGCGGCACCGCCCCGGGCACCGAGCCCGGCGGGGACCCCGCGCTGTGCCGGCTGTACCGCCACGTGTCCCACGACTTCCTGGAGATCCGGTTCAAGATCCAGCGGCTGCTGGAGCCGCGGCAGTACATGCTGCTGCTGCCCGAGCACGTCATGGTGAAGATCTTCAGCTACCTGCCCACGCAGGCGCTCGCCGCCCTCAAGTGCTCCTGCCACTACTTCAAGTCCATCATCGAGACCTTCGGGGTGCAGGCCACGGACTCGAGGTGGAACCGGGACCCCCTGTACCGGGACGACCCCTGCAAGCAGTGCAAGAAGCGCTACGAGCGCGGGGACGTGTCGCTGTGCCGGTGGCACCCCAAGCCCTACCACCACGACCTGCCCTACGGGAGGTCCTACTGGATGTGCTGCCGCCGGCCCGACCGCGACGCGCCGGGGTGTCGGACGGGGCTCCACGACAACAACTGGGTGCACCCCGCGGGCAGGAGGGAGGAGGGCAGGTGAAGGACGGGCGGACGGACGCCTGGATGGACGTCTGGGGGCGTGGGGTGGGGTGGG